AATGGTTTCAGAAAATTATGCAATTTTACAATATTTTCAGTGTTTAATTCTTTATTATTTTCTTGCTTCAGTTGTAGAATTATAGCCAGGAATGGACATATCGTAAAAATGTAATCATGGGATCGTGAATCACTATTGCTTAATTGGACATTCATAACATCTGAACTGCAACTTTATAATTTTTATTCATAATATTAACAGCAGGCTAAATATCTTACCTCCTTGTTTGCAACGATTATTTGTTTAAACATAAAATTGGCTGATATCATAACTGATAAATATTCATATTTAATTAGCTTTCTTACAGCCACTGTTTTCCAGCAAAGTCCACCCACTACATTAGCTCACTTCCTCTCACAAATTTGTTATGTCAAAGATCTAAGAAATTTTTTTTGTTGAACCAAAATTGACATTATTAGCTGATTTATTCTTTGGTCCGAAACTATTAATTGAAAATGAGTTAGTGGTTTTTGCTTAAAGTGCTGTATGACTCTGTGACTCTAAGTCTAAGTATAAATATAAGTTTTATATTTTACTTTATCGTAGTATTTCTATACAAAAGAGCACAAATCTGATTAAGAATTCAAGAAAGTAACATTATACATTGGCTGTGTATGGTCAGTGCTACCACTAGGTGGAGCACCGCACATGCATACACAAAATCACGCGATCAAGAACTGATTTGGTGCTCAAGACTCCACCTTAATTCACACCAGCATCCACATTAAGGCAAGCGCAGCATCACAGGAGTTGATTGCACATGCACAGATGGCTGTTGGCTCCCATCTTGAATGTGTTGGGAACAGATACTTTGTCTACTGATGAGAAATTGCCTGTCTCACAGCGTAACAATTTGATTATTAATCATTTTCAATATCATTCAGTAGCATCTAATACTCTATCAAAACAATTTGGCCAAATTTCCAAAATTATTTGTTCTATTACTTTTAAAACTGAATTCCAATCCAATGACCAAGGTGACTAAATAATTAATGGATGTTCAGAAATGTTTGCAGTGCAGTAATTTTATCAAATCCAAAAATAATTTATAGCTAATTACTTGAAAAAACAATGTATAAAGAAACTGAGCATATTTTATTATTTGACAACATTTGCGATAGCACCATATTCATTTCTTCAATTCCAAAGTTCAAAAGTATTGTGAGAACTAGTTAGCACTCATTAGCATTTCTGTACTTGTAGACATTGTAGGCATGTAAAAAATGGAATGGGATTTAAGATGCTGCTCTTTTTGGAATCATTCAATTCTGTCCTGGAGTAAACAATTTTTTGCTTTCACCTGTCAAAATATGATTGTAGTGAAACTAATTGCAAACTATGATAGGAATGTTTCCTTCTCAGCTTGTACAAGATCTCACTAATAATGGAAATTAAATATTGGTTAGTAAGATTCATATATTAAAAACTTTTGTTTAGAATATGAAAGTTTATTGTGCTATTTCTGCCAGTTACATTTCAGAAACTGTCCAATGCAATGCTTTGTTCTGTCTAATTTAGTAAAGGTGCTAATTGGGAATGAAAAGACCATTCTGACAATAACAGAAAATATCCGAGCATTAGGGAATGAAATTAGTCTGGAACGGTAACATGGAATACATGACAATTAACCTGTCTCACACTCTGGTTGATCTATTTTTCATGAATGAGTGGAAAGTGAAGTGTGTGGAATTTAAAACTGGCTGCTGATTCACAAACACAGCCCAAGACTAATTTTATCCCAATGATTTTTAATTATCTTTCCTGCATGGAAAAGAAACTCCTGTTTCCAGAATGGATAGCAATTGACCTTTAAATGAACTCAAACCAGTATTATTCACCGCCCTTATTGTATAGATAACCTCTTGTCATAGAAATTATTTCTACATTGATATGTGGATAAATAAACATACATATAGGCTTTAATCTATGGCAGGCTAGGATCATTCCTTGTGAAGTGTCTAGATAAGCAATAAACTTGCAAGTTGGAGCCCAGTGAATTTCAATGTCTGGCCTTTTTTTAAATGTTAGGTCTTCAACCCCCACCTAAACCAAGAATAAATTGACACAGAGGCAATGGGTAGAGTGAAAATCTTAAATAACAGCAAGCTGCCACGGGGCGCCAGGAGAAAAATCCCCAGCACTCACTAAAGTGGTGAGATTCCTCCAATAAAAACACAACTGGGGAAGATTGAGTGCTGGAAGAAAGATAGCCTCATTTCCAGGGTTTCTTCAGGTTATTTGTTTTGTCTTTTGTACTGCAAGTGAACACAGTGCACAAGGTACAGCTGAGGCTGCAAGAGTGTAATGCAAGAATGCTGGGATTAGGGGAGCATTTGTAGATCAGCAGAATGGAAATACCTTCAGAACTGAATATATTGGGACAATTAAAATGTAAGAGAGAACATACAACTAAAAGAAAAAAAAATGAAAATACAGAAATTGACACAGACCCTAGTGACTTAGGCACAACTACAGCAAAGGGTGACAAATCAGATAGTAAAAGCTACAAAAAAGAATGAGAAGATACTTTCAAGGGATATCAAACCAACACCAAAATGTTTTTACACTTACTGTAGAAGAAATGGGTTTACAAGCAATGGGGCCATTTGAAATCATTTGAAGATGATTGTTATTGTGGCATGAGGAAATGGCAAATACATTGAGCATATTTTTTATCAGTAGAGGACCCAAATTACACACCAGAAATAAAGAGTAACAAAGACACTTATAAGCATGAGGAACTTAAGGTAACATTAGCACAGAAAAAGTATTGGCAGAACATAAGGAATAAAAGCTGTCAAATTCCCAGGATCTGATGGCCTCCATCCAAGGGTTCAAAAAAGGTAACTGCAGATAGTGGTTGCACTGGTTATAATTTTCCAAAATTATTTCCAATGATTCCAGAATGGTCCCAATACATTTGGTAGTTAACAAATGTAACTCTGCTGTTCAAGAAAGAAGGGAGAGAGAAAACAGAAAACGACAGGCCTGTTGGACTGACATCAGTCATCAGGAAAATGTGGAAATCTATCAGTAATGAAGTTTTAACAATGCCCTTAGAATTTCAGCACAATCAAACAACATTAAGGTGATTTAACATAAGGCAAATTGTGATTCACAAGTTTATTAAGAGTTTTTTTTAGAATGTTACCGGCAGGATAGACAAGGAGGAACCAGAAGGCATTCAACAAGGTACCACACAAAAACTTATGTACAATGCCCATGGAGTTAACAGTATTAACTGGTAAACAGACGTGAATTAGAGTAGGGACGAAAGGGGCATTTTCAAGTTTGCAAGCTAACCAGTAACCAGTGCTGTGCTGCAAGGATCAATGTTGAGACATCGGCTGTTTTCAATCTACTTTGATGAATTACAAAGAGCCTAAGTACTGTATCTGTGTTTACTGGCAATACAAAGTTAGGTGGAAAAGTAATCTCTGAGTTTGTCACAAAAGGCTGGTCTGCGTTTTCAGTTAGCCAGTGTCTACCTAATGGGTAGATTGGAGACTTTGCATACTTTGATAACATTTTTAACTTTTATGATTCTCCAGGAATAGTGGGGCTTGCTTTCCAATGCAGTACCGCAGTGAGGCTTGACAAGAATAGAAAATTGAGCATTAAACAATGAGTAAAGTATTGGTAAGGAAGAAACAAAAAACAGAGAATACAAGCGGTATAGTTAGAAGTATAAACATAGATCGTAAGAGTTTCTATAGATCTTTAACGAAGAAAAGTTAACAAAGTGAGCATTATTCTACAGTAGGTAAGTTTAGGGAATTAATGGAAAACAAGGTAGGGAACTACAGCCATTTAGCTTAATATCGGTCATTGGGAAGATGTTAGCAGCTATTATTAAAGATTTGCAGCAGAGCACTTGGAAAATTTCAATGCAATTGGGCAGGGTCAATGTAGTTTTCTAAAAGAGAAATTATTTTAGACTAGCTTATTGGAGTTCTTTGAGGAAGCAGCATTTGTTGTGGATACAGGGAACCAGTGGACATACTGGACTTTGATTTTCATAAAGCATTTTATAAGATGTAACTGCAAAAGATATTGGAGAAAATAAAAGCTCATGGTGGGGGTAACAAGGTAACATATAGATAGAATGTT